GGGTTGGGGGGGGGGGGCTGGGGGGAGCGATCGCTGCTCAGGAACTGGCTGGGCATCAGTTAGCAGGTGGTGAGCAACTGCATTGGGCATCACTTGCTTTGTATATTATTATCATCATCATCATCATTACTATTTTACTTTATTTCAATTATTAAACTGTTCTTATCTCAGCCCAGGAGCGTTTCTCACTCTTACTCCTCCGATTCTCTCCCCCATCCCATCGGGGTAGGGGGAGTGAGGGAGCGGCTGCATGGTGCTTAGCTGCTGGCTGGGGCTAAACCACGACAATGTGCTAGCCTAGCTCATGCTGCAGGGTTTTTTATGCTTATCAATCATTCTCATGTTGAACTTGTGGCAGTTGCTTTTTCCCCAGTAAGCACCATCTCAGTCTCTGAAGAGATGAGCCTCTTCCCCATTTTAGCATCTCATAAGTCTTATCCAATTACGTGGACAACACCTAGGAATGCCCCTAGCTGAAAATCATTGGGAGAGTGCTTTGAGAACCTCTAAGCAGATGCGTATGTTGTTCTTACACTCTTCCTTATGCAACTGCTGAGTGTAATTGGAGAAAGAATACTGGGACAGATTTGATCTTCAGTATCATTAATTTAATGTAATTTTAGGCAAAGCAGTGACAAGAATTACTGTTTGAAAAGCAAACGAAATGGCAAAGAGGAAGAAACAAACTGCTCTTATCCAACTGTACAGATCATACTGTTAGATCTACCTGAACTATCAGCTCAAATGGATACGTATTTATCTGAGAATCACAGGGTTCTTCTCCACAATGATTTACTTTGGAAACCAGCAACCAGAGCAAAGATTTTAATAATTCTCTCAGAAGACATCTGAACTTACCTAAATTTCAACTCCGGTTCAATAAACATTAACTAGCTAAGGAAAATAAATAAAGGGTGTTTTCAAGCCAAAATTATTTTTCTGTTGAGTAAGAGAGTTCAACATAGAAATACAAATATATTTTGATTGGGCTTTGCCAGTAGCATTCTGGCAGATGGCAGGTATTTTCTATTATTTTTTCTAAGCAGCAATGCACCACCCGGACTATGCTGCCTGAGGAGGTGTTTTTATTACCAGCTGTTAAAGCCTAAATCTGCTATAAACACCATACTCTGATAAATACCACTGATAACAGCGAAGAGCAAAAGAAATGGTATTTTTCCTTGAATGTTCTGGTTAAGACCACTCTGTCCCTTTCTCAGCATAGAAGCTATGCACACTACAAAACTAGGTGACCTATGCTGATTGAATAAAGGGAGTTAATCCAGTTTTCAGACAGCAGACAATTCTTAAAGTCATTGCTCTTATTGTTAGTACAGAGACCTGTGGTACGATTTTATGAATACAGCCATGAGCCTTTGCTCCTGAAGTGGCAACACATATCAGAGTTGAAAAAGCACTGGTCAGGTCTTTGGGGAAGCCTGTCTTCCATTGTTCATATGTATGGCCTTTCTGGATGAAGTTGCTGACAATTTATACTAGGTGGGATAACACCAAGTTAAAAAAAATTCAAGGGGGATACTGAAATGCAACAGCTCATGCAACACTGTTGTGTAACAGCAAAACGATCAGTACCTAGAGTCCTGCAGTGAACCCCTCCATGAGTTTCACTTGTGATTTCACACAGAAGAATCAAAAGCTAAACAAATTAGCCCACTCCAAATCCATACACAACCTACATTGCAAAAGAAGAAAGCATTGTGGCCGTAACTTAATGCCAGTTACTAATTTGAATTAAATGACCAGTATGTGAAGGGGGAGGAAAAAAAAAATAAAAATGGGCATAAGCAGGCTAAATTAATGTTAAGAATAATAAATTAGATGAAGAACATGGAAAAAGTGAATGAAGAAGTTTTGCACTGGGTTGAACAATTTTAACAAAATATTCTGGAAATTCTTTTATAAGGCATATAGGACAAAAGTAATTTATTCTACCCACCCAATAGAAATTTTGGTCTAAAAATAATTTATCAGCTTTCTATAAATATCAAAGATGACAATTTTTTAAAAATAGCACTTCTCTTTTTATGTGGTTTCTTTTATGAAATCTGATGATAAACTTTTTAGTTACAGAAACAGGTCTTCATTACGTACTATAATTAAAGAGAAAGAAAAGGTAAATTTTGCATTTGCCATGTTCTTCTATTCTGCAACAGAGAAGAGTGTTTTGGTTCAGTGCATTTAGCCTGGCTATTTCAAGGGATGTTCTCAGAGGCAGAACAGAGAATACAGAATTCTAACTGCTGCACTTCTCTGAAAGACCATCCTGTCATTGCCCAAAACCTGCAATGCACATACTGTAGCAAGTCTAAGAGCTTTTTAATTTTGTGAGTTTAATTAAAATCTTTTCCTCCTCTCTTATTTACTTAATTATCTATTGTTAGGCATTCTATTTCAGGTGAAAATCTCACATATCATACTCAGTGTCTAAGACTCACTTTGGAAATGGAGCCTAGAAAACACTGCTGAAGGCAAAGACAGGAAAAAGAAACAAACAGAAAAATGAAAGTTAATTTTACATACCTAACTGCTGTAAGACAGTTGCTTTTACTTGTGCAGGAAGGTTTTCGATCTGCAAAAGTTGTTCATAAGCTTCCTTTGCAGAGTGATACTTTCTCTGCAAGAGGAAAAAAGTAAATGGATTAATCATAAAGCTTACAACAGATCACCAATAGCAACGATTTCACAGCACTGACAGCACACAAACACATTGACAAAAAATTCTAGATTTTTTTTTTTTTTTTTGCATACAGTGCATATGAAAGCTTTAATGAGTGATGGATATATACGGTAAGAGAGTAACTTTCATAAATATAGTATTTAATATAAATTGACTACTTAAAATAACTGAGGGAAATTTGAAAATTATTAAATTTGGTCTACTCCTCATTTATGCATTATTCTTCTTACACTAAAATGAATACACTGCTTTTAAGGGGAATGCTTGAATTTGAGTCTACATCTGAAAAAACTCTACACAAATCTCTCCCAGGAAATTTGTAACAGAAATGAAGGTCATCAGTAACTGGTGGCTGGTATAATTTTGCCTCTCTCCTTTCTTCTGTGTATTTGAACTGCCTTTTCAACATATTCGTTGTCCTGGTAATAGTCCCACCATATGTAGAATTAAAACATATCCACGGAATATGCCTAGAGAGTGAAGGTACGCCATCTTACTATTTGCTAGATAGTTTAAGTGTGCTTAAAGCATGGAAACATTCAACTCAACTCCCTATGTGAACAGGTCTTGATATAGAAAACACATTTCCAAGTTAGGATCGTGGTCTTTATTGACTTCTGGAACAGTACGTGCTGTTTTGTATATATTAAAGTTTAAGACTTCTCGATAGATGATTTTTTTTTTGTAGTAATGTCAGTATTTATCTTTGCATTACCCTAACAGTAATTGTTTAACAATGCTTAATTTAAATGCTTAATTCGTCTGTTCCTCCTCTCCCACAAAAGTCTAGAAGACATAAATGCTGAGGCCTGTTTGCATGGGTATATATATGGGTATATATTTTTTTTTTTAACTTTCTAAAAATTCTATACAATTTTTTAAGAAATATGTGCTTTCAGATAATTTAACATTGGACTTCATTCTGGCAAACAGATGAAGAGTGTACTAAAATAAATGGGGCCACCTAAATGCAAATGATCATGACTTACGTTACGTTTGTTTTATGCAAAGTGTACACAGTACTGACTACTGGTGTTTTAAAAGGGACAACTGGGAGGAAGACTCTGAACAACACAAATACCTATTAGAAGTTAAAAATGTTATTAGGTTCTTGAGATCTCACAATCACCAACAAGGCAACTCTGTTGGTTTTAAAACCTTATTCTAGTCAGGAAAAAAATGTAAACCAGCAATTACATACTTTCAAATGGAACAAGGGGAAGTTGGTAGAAAAGATATTTAATTGGTGTTCATGAAATGCAGACAACTGGTAAGAAAACAAATAATATAAATAAATAAAATATCCGTGGCCAGCAAAATAAAAACAACTAGGAAAAAATTTTAAATTTAGCATTGGGAACAAAATTTGTAGTTCAGGACTATGAAGGGTAAGCAAATGAACAGAAGTTCACTGGATATCATGACAGCAGAGGCAGCAATCCAGATGTCAAATAGGTAAATATTAGTGCCTAATATTCTCACTTTAAAAGAGATGTTTACGTGCTTGGGAGGATTCAGAAAGACCTATTAAAATAGGGCATGTTTTCCAGATGTAGAATATTTTTTACTTTTGTTATTTGTTGTATTATTTACCCTTCAGAAATCTGTCTACGTATATTCCTTATAATGTTTACATTTGGCTTTATTTAGATACGTGAATCCCAAAGTCCTTGATATTGGCTGCATCATGAATGGCATTAGAAACAGGAAGAAGGAGGGGAACCCAGTCCAATGTCTTTCTTTAGACACCATATAAGCTACCACCCTAAATAGCCAGACACCCCCACACTGCCACAGATGAAGTAATAGAAACTAGCACTGAACACCATGAAAAGCCACTGCTAACTCTTATCAGCACCAGGCTATTCTCTTGTTCAGAGGCTGGCAACCCATCATTTAAACTTCAGTACTGTGAAGGTACATAATTAAGGAATGAATTAACTTTTTCATTAAATATTAGAGTAGGTAATTTTCAAATATATGGAGGGGTTCAGAAAACTGTAGCCCTGTGTCCTTTAAAAGAAACCAAGCAACCAGCCTGCCTTCAAAAACATCTCTTCATTGTGGCAGAGGTAGTATCCAGAATGAAGGCAAGACCCTTTGTGGTTCCAAGTTTCTCAAATTCCAGAAAAGAAGATACGCCTCCCAACCAGAACCATGAGACAAACCGAGCCTAATAGCAAAACGCACTGCAACTTTTTTGCTCTGACTTCCGTTAAAATAAAAGTTCCCGCCGCCTATGACTGTCAGTCAGAAAGCATAGCTTAAGCACTTGTAACGTTGGTCACACAATTATATAAGGCAGCTGGCATGGTGACCCAAGCTGTTCAACATTCTATTTTACTCTAGCAGATCAAGAGAACTAATGTGTTGAGGATGCTTTGTTATATAAATGTGTCAGATGTGCTTCAGTGCTCAGAATGAAACCTGGACGGTGGCCAGGCAAGAACCACAACAGACCATCAAGTTTCTTAATGGTGTTTCAAGTTTCTTAATGGTGTTTTGGGACAGGGGATTTCTGTCTTGTCATATAGCTTTGCACCAAAAGCATTAAAAAGAAAAATATCTTGTTTATCAAATTTGTATCTTTTATTTATATATAAATACCTAAAATAATTTTTCACCGTGCCATCAAAAGACAGCACTTACTTTATCAAGCTCCTTTTCAACTGACTGAAAATGTAATTTGTTTATGTCTGACAGCCATTTTAATTACAACAGTTTTTGTTTTCATGACACATCCCTTCCTCAGTCATATAACACCTATAAACATGACAAAAGGGCATACCGTCTACATTACATGACTAGTCAGTCAAATTACAAATATACACAACAGCTATTTCAGTGGCTAGTTGGTTTTAATTTACTTATATTTTGGAAGCTCAGCAAGTGTTCTCTAATTTCCCAAAAGATTCACCTAAAAAATCTCTGTGGTAGTATTTGATACAGAATTAATAACACAGCTTTATGTGCTGTTGACCTCAGATCTCAAATGTTTCTGTCACATACATTCAGTTAAATTTGAAACTTTCATGTCAAAAAAAGGCACCTGGGCAACTGACTAGACTCGACTGTGTGTGTGTATGTATGAGAAACAATATGAATACATATGAATTGAGAGACTACACTTTTTTTATATCTAACTTTTAAAATACATATATAGTCTCATAAAAGAATTTAACTACAAATTATGCTTAGCGTTTTTTTTGCACTCAACTTGGGAGATCAGTAATATGTAAGTGTATTAAAATAGCTACTCCATTTTATAGCATGACAGTCCACATACAAAATATTTTTAATTTAGCCAAAGCATATAAAGTTTCTTCAGCTATTCAAGACTTAACCTAAATTTACAAAAGCTTCTATAATCTGAATTCCACAGATTGATTACATCATATGGTCAGAAACTCAACCACACTTTATAAAAAGGAGCTTAAAGCTTACCTGGATTTCATATAAGTGGGCAATGTGAAACTGAACTGTAAGAGTGGGAAAATCAAAATCATTAGTTTTAATGTATGACAACAACAACTACAGTATGTTTTTTCAAGTGAGGGATAAACAATGTTTCAAATTTAATAATGCAAAACCAAGATAAATTACATTTTGAACATACAAACCCAGTATTTGTTTACATTGATATTTTACACTTAATATGACCGAGAATGAATACATATCCTAACAAAGCATTAAGACTGCAAACAGGTATTTCAGAAAGGCAGCCCATGGATTTTTGTATTCTGAAACGCAGAGTCCATTAACCTTTCAGTAAACTTAGCAATAAAATCTCTTTAAGCAGAGATGTACAACAAGAGAATGCAGGTAATATCTTCTGTACATAACTGAGTTAGAAATACAGACTTGTTTTTTATTTTCATTCAACTGCCAAGGGACAGACTACCTGGGTTACAGAACAGAAAACCACATCATACACTGCCAGATTTATACAAGATCTTAAATTTAGGTGATTCCCCCCTCCCTCCCCCCCCATTTTTAGGAATTGTCTTTCCCCTGTTAAACTGAATTAAAAACGTTAATTACACATGGTATTCTGATCATTTGTAAAGCATCTTAAATTCCTCATATGAATTGCACAGAATGCCATAATACACTAGCAACGCTTGGATGCAAAAAATTGCTGGCTGGAGAGAGAAAATGAAAGTTGTTCAAGAGTAAAAACAGAGGGAAAATTATCCTCATGCTGCTCAAATCATTAAAGAAAAGGTGGAGTGCCTGATCTCTAAAGCTGGAGAACTGCTAACCTAGACTAGCCATCAACTGGTAGATAGCTAAAGCTAGTTGAGATGAATGTTATCCTTATTTTGATTCGATGAGGAAAGAAAAATTCCTTTGAGACAGACTTTTGCCTGATGTTCTTGATGACAAGTAAGAAAACATCTGTGTTTGAGCCAAGCTCAGTTTATTTCAATTAGCAAGATTTCTTTTTCCTGAAGCTACAGAATCGTGTGACACAGAGGTTTATACCGGTAATTTGGAGTTCCAGGGTTTCTCTCTGGGTCATAAGGGAGGGGGAAAGCTCCCTTTGTGCACTGCTTTGTCCTTCACTATAAAGAAGGAAGCCTAGTGCACTTCAGAAACCAGGTCATAATGAAATGCATCATCTAAAATTTTAATAAACTTTTTGTGTTCCTTGCTAAAGGGCACATAACACATCCATTATGTGCACCACATTGTCAAAATTCATATTGCACTGACGAAAGAAAAACCTCTGCTTTTGTTTAGGGAGTTCATTATCTAAAAGATCTCTCCTTTATTTTCTTCCCCTCATTGCAAAACCCCTTCAGTGTGAAGCTACAAAACAAAGCCATGCCTTGCAGGGGACAGAAATTAAAGGTGTCACATTAGAGATTGCCTAAATAGAAAGAAGACATGCTTAGTGCTCAAACATTTCTGCTAGGAAGACACTCACTGTGATGCTGTTACCCACCCAGCCTTTAGAAAGGCAAGGGGTAGGATTAAGGCAACTCAAGCATTGGCTTAGTGTGGACTTGGTAGTGTAGGTTAATGGTTGGACTGGATGATCTTAAAGGTCTTTTCCAACCTAAACGATTCTATGATTCTATGATTTATGTGATTGTACCGGACACCCTGGCTCAGGGTGCACCGCTCAGCAGTGCAGGAGAACCTGACAAAGTATCTCACATTCCTCACTCTTTTCGCTTGGGTTTCTCGGGCACCATGCCCAAGACTATGTGGCAATGAAGCCCTTACATGGGGCCACACCTCTACATACATCTGGGGGCAGAGGGGACCGTGGGGGAGGGGTTAGGAAAACCTTACAAAAATTCAGAGATACAGGGAAAACTGATAAATTTAGGGGGAAATAATATGAACTAACATGAAATATAATAAAGAATCACGTATCTGGTAGAAAACAATAAAAGCCTATTCACTTAGGAAGGATTCTGCAAATAATTTTACAAAATCATCTGTGCCTGTTCCTGGTAAGTGACATAGCTTTGGAGAAGACCTTGTAGCACAGCTGGCTCCTTGATACCAATACAGCCAGCAGTTTCACCCATGTGAACAAACCCCCTTCATTGCCCTTGCTGACAGAATATTCACAATCCCATCCAGATCTGAATTAAAGAAATAAAAAAATCCTTTTAAATACTTCATCCAGTGCTTCTGCAGTTAGACTTAGGAGGTAACTTAAGCTCAACACCACAAGCAGCATGAAGGTGCCTTAAAAACTGAGGGAGTAATTTTCTTCACAACTGTCTGCTTTTTACTTCTTACAGACTCCAAAGCATGCAGGAACATACGCTTATTCTTGCATACAATTCCAATAACTGTGGATAAATACCTGCAAGATGCTCTGTAACAGCCTACAGTATATACTGCATATGACAGATCATACTACACTAAAAGATTAATATGTTCAAGCACAGACGAATATATAGTTGGCACCTAATCAAACAAATTACATTTTGTACTTTTTCTTACTTCAGCAGCATATGACTGATGCTGAGTTTCAGACCTATGAATTTAAACGGCATTAAAATGATCACTGAAAAATCACAGATTATCAAGATGCCACGAAGTTTCAAATAATTACTATGAAATGTGTGCCGTGGCACAAGCACTATGTTTATAAATAAATAAATAAATGAACAGTCAAATAGCACAGTTTCCATCAGAACTCAAGTCTTCATAGCAATTAATAAGCTAAGTCTCAATTTTTCACTTATTCCATTTACTAAACCAATCCACAATTCCACCGGAGTATCTGTCTCCACTGACAGATGGAGACAGGTTTTGTAGTCTTCCTCTCTCAGTACTGATCCTTTTGATTTTGAAGGATTGGTTCATTAAAAATTGATACAGTTGTGAGCACAAGACTTAAAAAAAAAAAATCTACAACAAAATAAATGGAAATACTTGTAGGTTACTTACTTTCAGCGTTAGACAAAGTGCAGGGATTGCAGTCAATCAAAGCTAACTGAAAATGCTGAAAAAAAAGAATGATTTGTTTTTTCAAACAAAATAATACTAGCACTTTGGCAAATTACTAAAAATAAATCAATTTTGTACTTGAAAATGAATACTGCATTTTACCATGTGTCTTAAAGAAAACAATTTTCAGTTTCTGTTCAACTGTTTACTAGAGTGAAGTAAATTTTTTTTATTGCAAATGTAGTGATGCTTCTAGTAATGTAAGATGGCAACAGACATCTTTACAAAACAACTGGAATAGTATCTGGAAGAATGATTGCATCAAATGAATGGTCAAAATTCGAAAATCAAGTTTTCCTCAGAATACACAACTGGGAATGTAGTCATACTAGCTCACAGCCTCATGGGACAAACCTTGAAGCTCTGAATTTGTCTATCTGGAAAAAACAGAATACTCTTCCTTCAAACTGAGTGATTTGAAGTATTTTTTAAAAAATTGATCTCTTGTCAAAAAGCCTTTATAATTATAATACCTTTACATTGAAACATGAGTTCATAAGGGGCTCACAAGTTCTTACAGCCTCTCTTCCAGGTATTAAGATAACTTCAGTTAAACATTAAAGCTTGTTTATTTTTAATCACTTTTCCTCAAGAGATATGAAAAATATCTTTTAAAACATCTTTGCATTCAGAAGTTCTGAGCTAAGCATTTCACCCTTCTAGAAAAGAAGGTGACACAAGCAGAGCAATGAAGTCTGTCTGCTAGGAAGTCTGGATGTGAGCAATCATTTCGCAAGTGTCACGCCAATTCAGTGATCACTGTTTCATACAGCCTGAAACGCAACCAAGTGTGTTAGAATGAATGAACAGGCATACAAACTCAAGTGCCTCTGAACTTTTCCATAAAATTTATAGAAAATTCCTACACAGTGTATAATTTGGATTAACATATTAATTCAATAGAGAATAAGGCTTAGGAATATAGGAACCTAAGAGATAGCATATAAAATACTACTGTTAATAAATACAGTTATCTACAAAATACAGTTTCAGGTGGCTTCTACCACACAAAACATTACTGATGCTTCAGTATAGTTTATTTTGTTAGCACAAAAATGATAATTTAGCTCCAGCCATTCAGGATGCCAAACTAGGTGACAGCAGGAGCTTATTAGTGTAACTGGGAAGAAAAATAATAAAAAATTATTATTAATGGATGTATATGCAACTCACTTTCAGTATTGTCATACTCAGAGCTACTAGATATGACTACATAACTTTCCTCATGGTCCTAATAATACCTTGTGTATAGCATGTCTATATAACATCTCAAAGATTTATAAGAACAGTTTGACAGACCACCACATTTCTAAATGAACATTTCCAACAGAAGAATTATTAGCAAATTAATGTATTATCCATAGCAAAGCATAAAAAAAGACATCAGTGAGGCACACAGTGTCACAGCTTACCTCCTCACTGACTTCTATTGACATCATTTGTAATATATTAAGAACAGGAATTTATGATTTTTAATGAGCCTTTTAGCAATATCATTCCCAGAAGAGAACACAGAAAAGAATGAACTCGCATATACACTACTTGTAAAATAACTTTTTAACCTCAGAGCAAGAATTAAATAATAGCTTATAAATATTAAATATTAGCGTATTTCTCTGCCTTGCCTGTTCCTTTTTCTAGTGTTCAGCAGTCAGAGAACTTAAAACCTCCCCTCACTTACGTTGCAATGCAGGTTGTGTGCTTCAGAGACATCCTTTAGTCGGTTACCATAGTGATTCTACTAAGCAGGCAACTTAAAAAAAAAAAGGCTAAATAAAAATAAAATGCTCTACTTTATATTGCATTGTGCCTGATGAAAGAAAAAAAGGAACAGACCTATATACTTCGGCCTGTACATTGAGTATACCAATCCAAATGGTACAAAATCAGTTTTGTGCAGATGTGTCATCTTGCACCGTCACTAACAATTAATATGGAAAGATAAAGCAGAAAGGAACAGATTTGCTCTCACCTAGCAATGCTATTATAAAAAATAAGCAGATCTAAAGAGAAGCGATTGACAACTGTTCTGTAGTAGGTTTTCAGAAGGGTTATTGCAGCAAGACTCACTGAGAGAAAGCAGGCAACCATATAAGAAAATCTAATCATTTTAATATTTAAATATGCCTGTAATATCAGTGCTGTACAGTAAAAAACCCCAGGAATATTCTCAGCAATGCCTCCAAAAAATTTAAGTTCTTACTGCTACATTAGCTGACTTTTAAATTTCAAAATCCATGTTATGAAAATTTTTAAGTGTAGTAAATTTCTGCCTACACTGTTCACTAAGCTACAAACAGTAAAGAAATGAATCAACTGAAGCCCGTAACTACAGCAAAATACACCATTTGCACTAAACAATTATCGGAAAGCAATACACAGAAAACCCAGAACCTTTCAAACCCAGAACCTCTGAAATGCATACACGAGCAAACCTACCCCTCTTGCCAAATAAATAATACATAGCTCCCCGTTAAGTATGCAGAATCAGACAAAAAAAAAAAAAAGCATGCATGCATTCTAACGCATAAAACTCATCAGCCAAAAGCAGATCCACTAATCACAATTACCAGAACCAAAAATTTAAAGAAAAAATAGTGATCGTTTCCAACTTCCATTTCTGCAACAAACAGAAGCGGCCAGCAAACATCTGCACCTCTCTCAAATATTGCAGTACTGAAGCTGGCTACTGCTGTGTGAAATAGTTATTATGCAGGAGAGGCCGCTGCAGTTCAGAGACGACATACAATACCTCAAGGCAGACAGCAGTCTATAGAAATTCAAATCCCGAGTAAGAGGATTTACCTAGAAGGCAGTGTTCTGAATGTTAAAAAGTAACAGGCTCTCTTCAAGAGCTGCAGCTCAAGTCATAATATACCTTGATTTGTAGCCATCTGTAATTGCACAATTATCTACAGCCTATTTTGTCTCCTCTGGAGTCCTTGACTTGCCTCTGACTCTGGAAACAATTTGGAAGGTAACCTTTCCAAGGATGAGAAGTAAAGGGGACTGCATATAAACAGAACCGGTGAAAGCATTAGGTCTGGTAGTAAAATAGTAGTAATATGACACCGATTTAGGTAACTCAGCATGTTTTCACTACTAGAATTAAACACCAATTCTCCTAACGAATTAGTCCTTTACAATTTAAGAGGCAAGTACCCAGGTTTTTGTTGTTTCTTTAATCAATAAATGACAGACACAAAAAGAACCGTTTTCTTCTCAGAGCAAGATTTTCAGTACTACCTCTGTTTACATCCAAGCCTGAGACCTCAACATAGTGATTCCACTCCCTCCTCCTCTCAAGGATGACATTAGCAAGTTTAACAGCTCTAGGTTCTGCATTTACTCAGCAAGCAAGGCAAGCCATCATCTGAAACCTGACAACGCTCACAGACTTACCATGAAGGAAAGCTCCATCATGACTCAGTCAAACTCTGCCAGGAGATGGCTTTTTCTGCCTATGTGACCTAGGTGTGATGCCTACGCTCCTCCGAGCAGCCTTTGTTCAGATAAGTAGGACAGGGAAAGCCTTGCGTAATCGGCCGCGGCAGAGCGCCAAGCCTCCATTTGCCAGGCGTGTTGGGGGCCAGGGGAGAGGGTCAGGAGAGGACGTGCTGCATGTGCTGCCACGCCAGCTCACTGCTCTGCTCTCCAGCGTCTTCTGAACTCAGAGCAAATTCGTCTCCTAAGATGAAGGTTTGTCTGGTGTAAACACTCACTCACTCTTGTTCAACATTCAAAGAAAATCCCCCTCAAGACTGAGCAAAACTGTTGCACGGACAGGGCAGAAGGAAGCTGCTTGAGGGCAGAAGAAACAAAGGTCACATCTACACATAAACTGAATAACAGCGGTATGTCCAGAAGAATCTCTTGTTTTGACTAGCTGTATCTGAAAAATTCTTTCTGAACAGAGACACCAACATCTTATACAGTACACCAGAGTGTTTTTCACAAAGCTATCTTAATACTCGTGTTGCCTGCATGTTTTATCATTATTTGTGCAGCACCAAAAATTTAGTTCTCCCTGGGTTACAGCCCGAAGGACAGCCAGCAGCAGCGAAGTGCCGTAGGGAAATGGGATGCCTGGAAACTTGCCCCTGGGGCTGATCAGCAGGGAGGTGAACTGCCCTGAGCTGGGGTCCTTTCCGGACCTCAGCCTCTAGCCCACGCAGCCAGCCAGGCTGAACCGAAAGCGCAGCATAACCCTTGCCAGGTACCTGTGGCTACCTGGCCAGTACGCGGAGCTAGCTACTACTGTGTGCCCTGAATGCCAACCTTTCACTTAGAGTCACAGCTAATAAACCTGATCCAAGATCCACCTCCCACCAGGAGAAGGTCCCCAAATGAACTAAGCGTACCAGCACCAATACTCATTAGCTGGAAGGCAACTATTTCTCTTCTCATGGTTTGTTCTTTCCCCCACCCGCCCGGAATGACGGACGATGCCACACAGCATGTTAATTCAATGTTAGCATTTACTTCTCTTTGTAATCATGACATTTCTAAAATACACCTACCGCTTTCTTTTATAGGAAAACTCCAAAATGTCTCAAAAACCCAAGCAAAACTAAGTAAGAGAGAACAAAAGAAAACACTCTGTAGGCTAGACATTGTGATATTGTGATCCACTGCCAAAACCAGTTGCACTAGTAACTCTCTTGCAGTTTGATTACAGTGCCATGCTGCACTAAAAAACTTTCATGTTTTTACTTCTTGTATGTGCCTCTCCATCACATGCACGTGCAAACTACAAAGACTTACAGAGCAATTTCATTCCCAGTGTTGTTTTCCATCCACTTACATTTCTATTAAAATAATCTTTTGACTCATTTCATTTTGCTTTCCACAAAATGCTTTTTAGGTGAAGTGCTTAAAATCTTGCATATCCACCTAAAGCCCTTTGTTTTGTTTCTTATCTAAAAATGTCGCTGATTAGTTTCTGGTAGAATTACAGACATAAAACTAGACATAAGAAACTTCTCATAACTGTATGTATTTTGACTAGTTGATTTTTCTTTCATAATTAAAAATAAATAACATAGGGTTTCAATTTAACACATTTAAGCTTAAAAATTAATAATCTAAGGACATATGAAAGATAACTAGGTTGTGAAACAGCACTTGAAGGCTTGAAAACACAAATTTTCACATTCATAAACACATTCTTACTTGTTACTGAGAAAAAGAACATAAAAAATGAACAATATGTCTATAACAACTACATGTTGGCACACAATAGCTGCAGTAGCTAAAAATATCTTCCATAAAGATAGATACATATATATATATTTAGACAGGAGAATTATTTGAATAAGTGATGGGAAAGTGTCTGACTGACTACAAGTACTTTGAGCTGTTCATCTGTATATCAGTATTTATTTTTTTTTGTATTTCATGCATATTCATGTAATTCATGCATATTTCCCCAATAAATTCTAACTATTTTGCAGCCTTTTTCTTATCCTAATATAAGCAGTATGTCTTAACATTACTAACAAATGAGAATCTTTACGAAAATAATTAAAAAATTAAAATTATATTTAAATTGAGGATTTACAGGCAATATCAAAGCATAGGCCTGAAGCAAACTACTGGGATACCTGTTTTGTGTATAAATAAGCAGGAAAAATTTCTAGACGTGAAAGGCAGAATCAGTATTTCTACTAAAAGGCAGATAATTGGAAACATGAGTAATTTAGTTCTCATTCTTCTAAGGGTTTTGTTGCTGGGTACAGGATGCATCTGCAATACTTAAAACCCAAACAAAATTCCCAAAGCACAACATAGCTTGGTTTGCCATAAAATAGCCTGCTTGTGTCCAGAGTCCCTACTGACCACCCATTAAAAAAAATAAAAATAAAAATAAAAATAAAAAAAGGAACAATCCACCACCAAAAAAACCCCCAAACAAAAGCAAACAAAACACCCCCTCACAAAACCAAACCCACAGAAAATCTCCCACCCACCCACAGTTCCCTCAATGTTATCATTCTAACAAATATGAAAAACTAAGATTTCTTTTTTCCCCTTAAGTAGTCTGTCAGCAAACAATAGACATGAACTGAATTTTACATTGAAAGGGCCATCATAGATCATAGCCCTAACTCCCCACCAAAAGCATTATGATACTTCAACACCACCAAGCAGAATGAGCACCAGATGGAAGACTGGTTTCCCGTAACTGCCATTACCAATGTAACCCAATTATTAAACTAAGTAATACCAAAGCTGTAATTTTTCTTTTTTCCTCATCTTCTCTTTTATGCATGTCAATGGTCCCACACAACATACCCAGCTCCCGCTTCGTGCTTCACCTAGCTCTGCGTTCAGCTTCCAGCTGGACAAGAGGCATCGGGGCTGCCCGATGCACAGCAGCTCCCGGGTGGGACAGTTGCCTTCATAGGAATTTTTCACATCCCAACAGACCAGATATACAACCAGTCATTTGGTGCCTCTGTTGCAGATCAAGCCAACCAGACCACCTGGTCCTCAGCTTGCAGAGCTCAGACAGCTCTGGTGCAACGTCACGTAGGGATGTTCTAGAACTTCTCTTTGAAATCTCTTTCATCCTGACTTACTTGCTAGAAATTGGTTAAGATTCAAAGGTACTTAAGAGAAGAACTGAGACACATGCGCAAGACAGGATGATTACATACATGTATGAAAAAAGGAGGCTAAAATTGAAAAAAATGTTTTCAATAAACAGGAAAACATCTAGGATAGCAAGTGACGTGCCAGAAAGAATGTGGCACGTACTCAGAAGCTTGAACATTTTTTCCAACTACATTTACTAAACCAATAAAAAGTTATATTATATTCCTAGAGCTCTTGCTTTATGCTCCTTTCAGATTATCACAGTGCCACCACAGCTACCACCATCTAACACAGTATTCCTAGTGTCCTTTGTAGGAAATGTCAAATAGGAAGGGGGCAGCAGGACACGTAGTGAACTGGGAAAAGGTTAGGACTGTGAGGTAAACCTTAATAGTATGTTGCTGCTACAGTAATCAACAATAAAGTCTCCCCAGTCATTGCCAGTTGATTTTGGAATTGTACTCTTCTGATGAACAGGCAAATTTAGCTTTCAAGTATCACCTCTGAAGGTAACACTGCCCTAACTGTCAGGTTACACAAGGACTGTTTTCTTTTCAACCAGAAGGGCCACTTTTTTTTTTTCCTTAACGTAAGACTGAAGGCCAAGTAATTTTCAACAGCACTGGTATTCTTGCCAGAGTTTATGGCAACTGGATAACAGAGCAGTCAAGGGTTCTCACAGTAATTTGCAAGTCTTAACTGCAGCAATGCTAAAAACATGCAAAAGCAGTAATTGATTTTGAAAAAACACTGAGAGTTGATTTTATGCTTGTTAAAGAGCACTCTAGTAATTATCTTGATCAACATCTTAAATAGTAAAAATTAATTTTGTGCTTAAATTGCTTACATAAAATATAGATGATTTATGTTAATGGTTTAAAATTGTGAAAAACATGGAATATATGACCTTCAGACTCTCATGTTCCCCCTTTGCCTGAAGACTCTTACTGACAATGACTCATCTGATGGCAATGGTTTATTCTTAGCAATTACAGACTTAACATGAATGTTTAAATACCATCAAAAATATTATGATATTTCAAAGCACATTAATGCAACGTTGGTACAATCTGTGAAATCCAGAACAGTCACAAGCGAACGCCAGATGAAAAGTTACTTCCACTTTCCACCTCCATGTCAAACAGGAAGCTCAAACAGGGCTATGAATGACTTTATACAGAGCCTCGGGGAAAGGGTCTGTGCTCAAGGCCAGTCACTAGCAGGCTAGATCCTAAACCCCATAACCTTCCTCTAAAATCCTGGGTCCTTTTAAAAACGTCCACAAAACCAAAAAAGGCACAAGACAACTGTGTCTTTTCATTACTTTGGGTTACTTATCTTTCTTTTGTGAAGAGACGAGATACTCAGTCTCAGAGAACGAGACAGACATTCTGTGAAAACACCCTTTCGCACTCTTTCATCATCTCTCTTCCTCATTTTATTCTCCCCATGCTTGTGCATAACCACCACACCAGCACCTCATTTTGTTCTCTTCACTAAGGAAATACTTTCTGACTTGCCTCTCATATTCTTGTCACTCGGAGTTCTGGCTTAAGGGGATTTTTTAAACCCCAACTCGGGGATCAGTCAGATTGGCTTTTAAAGAAGCTACTGCCCTGCTTGTTCTACTTAGTCTACTCCTCAGTTGCTATATTCCGATGTGTAAGCTGCTATGTTTCAATCAGTAATACTGTTTCCAAAGTAGATCAGTCTCAAGACTCTACATTAAATCCACAGCTGAGCTGAACTGAAAACAGCTGAAACTCTTCAAGACCGAGTGGATCACCCCATTGGGTCCTTTCTTTCTTGTTCCCCACCATTATTC